GGAGTGTTGAAGGGTTGTTTTGCCTCATAAGAGAAAGCCAAAGAGCACTGTGGCTCGATGGGTAGTTCTTCTCTTGTTGGAAACCAAAACTGTGGCTGGTGGTAGGAAGAATTCTTTTTGCACCAGCTACTAAGTAGATGCCATAGCTGGAGGGTGAGGTTTCTCTTTTTGTTGGGCATTGGTCAGTTGTCAGCTCTTGCAGCTGGTAGGGACAAGTCCACTTTTCTTTTTCTTTTTTTGTAAGAGGAAGCAGCCAAAGCCACAGCAACAGATAAATGATTTCCTGACATCAGCAGGTTTGGCATTAGAATCCAGCTGAAAACCATACTTAAAAAGGATTTTCTGAGTTTATTTAGGAAACTAATCACCACTTATAGCATATTTTGTGAAAAGATATGTCTCCTGTTCTAATCAAACTACAATTATTTTGGATATATATATGAGTTGGTTACTTGCTTTATGAGACAGGCTTTCTTCTAAAATCATTAACAATGGTGGATTGCAGTTTTCATCTTTTTCTAGATTCACTTCTTTGAAAGAGAGTCCAAATATGTGTCTTAATTATGATGATAGGAATGCAATTTCTATAAAATGCAAAGAGTTTTAATAATGGCTGGTTAATGATTCTATCTCTATTGGAACAGATAAGAGTGGATTCTCTCTATAGATTTGTATACCAAGAGGCTCTCTCTCTGTCTGCTTCTAAGGGAAAATCACTTTTCCTTGTATAGTCTGAGGACAGTGGGTCTGGAAAATTGCTAACCCCATTTTTTCCCAGCAGAGAATTCTGCACAAAATTGACATACCACCAAGTACAAAATGACATATTTTGTTCTACTTATTATATGTAATTAAAACTATCCAGTTATTTTAACTAATTTTTGCACACACATATTATAACAACATTTTGTCTGATGAACATTCAAACTGACTTCTAATCTTCCTTGAAACATGAAACTGACCTTGGTGAAGCTGACATGTATGCTGTCAAGGATGTTCCTGAACATTTTCCCTCAAGATGAAGAAAGAATGCAGAAGGGAGGGGTAAAATTACTCTTTACTCTGAATCTGTTGACTTCCATTTTAGTGTATCCAAGGCTGTGCTTTGAACAGGCTCTTAAAAACCAGTATAAGAGGGTGACTTACAAAATCTTCTGCAATTTCTGGAGAAACTTAATTCTTATCTTGAAATGTCACAAAAGCTGCTGATAACCATTAAGCAAGGTTAGTATCAATCAGGCAAAGTATATGCCTTTCTGAAAATGACTGTTTCTTCATTGAGCAAAACCTTAATTTTTCTAACAAACAGAAAGTTTCTAATAAAAATTCTATATCTTAATGAGGTAGTTATATTTTTAATAATTTGATTCAAGATTGAATTGTTAAGTAATATTACATAATATTGCTAATTTTTCATTCATGTATCTTTTTAAAATACCATTTTTGATTTGTATATATACAGGTATATCAAGCCAACCATTTTACTAAGTAATATTACATAATATTGCTAATTTTTCATTCATATATCTTTTTAAAATACCATTTTTGATTTGTATATATACAGGTATATCAAGCCAACCATTTTATTGTATTTAAGGGATTAATAATTTATTTCACTAATCACTTAGTCTCATAAAATATTTAATAAATCAATCCTCATGCCTTTTTCAAAGAAGCATTTTTTCCTTGGAAGGTCCAGTTTTAGTCACTGTTATCTTTTGAGATTTCTTTCTTTTTTTTTTTTGTAATTTTCTTGTGTTCTAGAGATCCCCTAATTTAAAAAAACAAAACAAACAAAAAACTCTTTAAACACAATATTATCTTTCTCTTTTCCTCAGATTCTATTCCTAGCCTAAACTAAACACGATAGATACAGTAATTTTATACCCTGTGGCTTAGAGATAGTGGTAATCCCCTGCAGAGAAACCTTCATGGGGAAAGTATTCAGATCTGAAGATTCAGTCCTTCTTCAAACAGAAGCAGTGAAGGCTGAACCCTAAATAACCAAAGTGGGGGATAAGGACAGTACTATAAGAGAAGTGCTACGACATACTTATAAAAGGAACTGTTAAGAGTCCCTTCAAGTGTTCTGTTGGCACCAGGCTTGGCTCACAGGGAGTGATTAAGATGAAAGGCTCTCAGACAAAGCTAGGTTTGATTATTGCCTCTAAAACTAACTGTGTAGCCTGGGGTAAGTTTCTTCACCTCTCAAAGACTCGGTTTCTTCATTTGTAATGTTATTCACGTCACTGGATCGTTAGGAAGATGGAGTAAGATAATTCATATAACAAAATGAAGCCAGAAAACTGGGTATAAGGCTCAATAAACGTTTTTGCTGTGACTTTTGTTGTTGCTGCTGGTTTTCCCTCCTCCAGTTTACAGATCTGATTTGGGGAACTTGGAGCTTCAGTTACACCTGGTTGGCTTCTTCATCCACCCCTGCTCTTTGCCTGTTCAACCAGCCTGTGGATTTCAATCTCTCTCTCTCTCTCTCTCTCTCTCAATGGTTAGGGTGTTCTTAATTCAAAATAATTTCTTCACCTATTTAACAGTAAAATATTTCCTAACCCCAGCCTGTAAGTAAAGACGGCTGATTTTGCTGTTTTAAGATAAGAGTTGGGGATTACATAGCGGTGCTAGTTGTATTTACAGCTCAGATCTCATTTTACAAATGAAGAAATTCAGGTTGTAAATTAGAAAATATTAGAAAACTTTGAACGGCAAAAATAAAGCATCTTTGGAATGTAAACTAACTTTGTTATTCAATATCTTCCCAGAGATAAAACCACTCAGATAAAACCCAAGAAATCAAACAAAACAAAAACCAAACCCTTGACACACACTTCTCACATTGCTATATGAAGGACTATAAGCTTTCTAATGCTTTTCCCTCAAGTGTACACATTCCTTTCAAAGAATTTTTTTCAAACATTTATCTAATATAGAGGATGTCCACTATGCCAAGGCCTAGTATACAAAGATAAACGCTACTGTCCTTGCCTTGAATATGTTCACAGTGTCATGGACACAACAACCACTGGCAAGCAGTAATAATGCTGTGTACATGACAGGAGTTTTGTATTCATTTAAACTACTGATCTTCAGACAAAAGTTTTGATGGGGCATGGATGAATACTTCTTACAGGAGGGAGGAAGATGCCTAGAGTGGCTTCTTAAGGGAAGCAGATGAAAGTGGATGAATTATAGGTGGCAAACAGCTGAGCATTCCAGGCACAAGGAACAGCAGGAAAAGGACACAGGTTGTGGAAAGATGATCACGTAGTTTGGTTACAGCTAAAGTATAGGATGATGCCTGGTGGAAGTGGTGGTGAAAAGATGGAAAATGGGGGGGGGGGACAAATTGTGATTGACCTGTATACCATTCATGCCAATGATTGTAATACCATACTGATTGTGATGAATCACAGCAAGCTTGAGATTCCTAGTGTTGTTTTTCCTTCCGATGTTCCTTTTAGACTGACCATTCCTACTGTGTATTTGGCGGGGGGGAGGAGGAAGGAATTCATTTCTTCTTTTTTACATCACCACTACAACAGTGCCTGGCAAAGAGAGTGTCTCTCTCTCTCTCTCTTTGCTATTTAGTTTTCACTTTGCCAAAATCAATAGCTGTCACTGTCTCTGAGTTTCTACCTCTGAGATAATTTTTATCAGTCAGGGAATAGAATCAAAGGTAATGAGGGCAGGCAGGAGCAGGTGTTACAGAGAAAAACAGGAAGAGCCCGGCTATTTAACTCTACCTCCTGAACCTGAAGACTAAGTCAGTACCAGCTGCTGTCTTCCTCTTGGAGCAGGAAGTTGGTAAGACCTTGTTCTCAGCCCACACTCCACATCTTTATTCAAAGCCTCCTCTGTGCTGTGTGCTGGGAATGCAGCAGTGAACACATCAGTGCACTCCTGGATAAGCTTACATTTTAAGAATTAAAAGGCTTCTTTTAAGTATTATTAAAGAGGCAGTGAAGTTTCTTTTGTATCCAAATTTGTTAAAAGAGAAACCTATTATCACTCTGTATGACAGGTTTATTTTCTTTATATTCTTTGCAAACCATAACAGTGAAAGTGGTTCTGTTGAATGGAATGTTTTACTAGTTGCAAATCTGAGAGGTTAAGTATTAGTCTGCTTTTTCCCAAACTATAACTTAGTCCTAATAAAATGACTGTGGCTAGGCTTACTTATTCAATGCAGCTTGCTTAAAGGTAAAAAAAAAAAAAAAAATCTTAAAAAGATCCTATAGAATCCACGAATCTCCATCAGAAAATAATGTACGGGTTGTAAAATAAGCCCTCTGATTCTTTATAGGGCAGCTTTTTGGTCTTTAAAAAAAATAAAATAAATACGAGTGTACCTATTTTTAATTTCATTCGGCACATTCGTGGGGAATTTAGTAATTAAGGCTAAGTTCTATACCAGCTTAAGTTTAAAGCAGTAGTGCTCAACATAAGGGCAGTACGAGGTGTGTGAGCGGTTTTCGACAGTTCATTTTCATGACACAAGCCACAGAAAGTGAAGCTGAGTAAAACCTTGAATATGAAGCATCTGAGATATTAGTGGTTTTCATCTCAAGGCAATTCAGAATGGTGGGGGACGAAGAGGTTGGGAATCCTGCTCACTAAAAGAGAACGTGAGTTAAAGAGAAGTTAGGAAAGGGGGCCGTGGACATGATTCATAACCAGTGCAAGGCGTCTGCGTTTGACTTCGTCATGCGGAGCAAGTTTCAAGGTCGTGCCTAGACAGGGGCACGAAGGAAGAGTTATGCCCAGGCGAGGGGGTGGGCTTGGGGCGCGGCAGTGATGGGAGGAGGGAACGCGCTGGGGCGGGCGCGGTGGCCCTGAGCCCAGGCGCGGCGGTCGGGGGGTGCTGGGGTGGCCGTGGGGAGAGGCGGCAGGCCAGCCACAGTGTCCGGTGCGGGGCAGGCGTCCGGTTGAGTGCAGCTTCCTTCTCCTGTAAAAGGTGCGCTGGGCGACCGTCCCGGGTGAGTTGAACCACCCGCGGGAGGCGGAGGGAGCCGCGCTGCGAGCGGCCGCGAGCTCCTCCCCCGGCACCTCCACTATCTGGGTCAGGACGCGGCGGCCGCGACGCCGGATCTAGAGCCCGCGGGCTCCGGGGCTACTGTTCTGCCGTTGCCCGTCGCCCGCAGGTCCCGGTCGCCAGCCTGCGACGCCGGAGAGGCCTGCGCAGCGAACACAAGTGCGCGCGGAAGCTGGGAGGGGGCGGCTGGGGCGGCCGGGGTCGTGAGGAGGCCGCGCAGCACTTCCGGCGGCGGTGGCAGCACTTCCGGGTGCCGCATTCCCACCCGCGCTGCTGTGTACTTTCTTCCGGCTGAGAAGCTGGCCGCCAGCGGCTTCCTGGGGTGCAGTCCACGCTGAGCTCGCGCCTCTGAACTTCCAACCACGGAGCTGCCGGTGTTTCCGCTCCGCTCGCCCCGTGTGGGGCGCGTGGGGAGCGCGCAGTGTGTTGCCGCGGCGGGCCGGTCCCTGCAAACTCCGAAGAGTTTCAGCAGAGACACTGCTGGGCTTTCACTTGCGCTTTCTGGATCTTACTTTCGGTCTCGAGCAAGCCTTGTGTTTTGTTTGTTTTTTTCTCCCTGAAACTCGGATTCTGTACCATTTTACACCAAAATAAGCCAAACATCAGGGAACCCTGGATGAAATAAGAGTTCTAGAATTCTTTCCTAAAGTATCAGGTTTTCCCCGTCGCTGTAGGGAATCCGATCACTTACTATTCAAGGTTTCAGGGCAGTTCCGTTGGGAAACTTAAACCCCAGGCTTGTCTATAACCTATAATGGTTTTCTCCGCTTCTTGCAAAATTTTTTATACATTCGAGTTTATCAGAGTCATGCATTTTGTATTTTTTTCCCTAAGGATCTGGTGATGGATTATGTGAATATATATATTAATTTGGTAAAGCATAATTTTCATCTAAAAATTAATTAAAACGAACATAAAAATATTTTCTGAAGAATAACATTAGAGTTAACATTTTCATGAATTATATCAGAATTCTTGATACTCATCTCTGCAAATAACCTTTGATTATGTGTGACATTATTTTAGGTACCAATAATTTATATTAATGTCAGTCATTTTCCATTGTTATTACTGGTGCCTTACAAATTGGAACTTGTAACAGGAATAATATTTTGCATGTGATTATTAAAATATTAGAGTTCTAAAATCTGGTCAATAAAATTTTTAATTTGCTTTGTTTTTATATTATCATACAAGTGTGTCTGCTAGTATGATAATTAAAAGCATAAAAGCTATTTAAATGATTTCATACCACCGTCGAAATTATTCTTTAGGCAAATATTCTGATTTATTACTTTTGTACATCACTATTTTTAATCAGTGTTGTTTTTGAAATTATTGGCATAGAAGCACATTTGTTTTATACTGATAGAAAATTCAAACATAGATTGAGCTATTTAGCCTCTAATTGTGGTTACTTAAGACAAATACGAGTTCTATTGAGTCTAGGTTTTTTTCCCAGTTTTCATAATTCTGAAATCATATTTCAGCTCTGAACGTCTCTGTTCAGTCAGCATTCTCCTTAATGTCCTGGTTGATGCTTTTTGAATCTTCCACAGGCAACAGGTGCATCCAGGACTTAGGAAGGGTGTCAAAGATGACAGTTTTCACTTCCTAATTGGATGACCTCTAGATAATGTCTTGATAGCTGTGTGTCTTGGTTTGCTTATCTGCAAAAAAATGAGGATAATTATTATTTCCACCTACCTCAAAGAGATAATTTGGAATTTGTGTAAGTCCTAAAGAATGGTCAAGCAAAATATGACTCCAGTTTAAACTTGGTTTTGTCTCAGGATTAAGGTCTCCTTCCTAGGTAGATTTTCACTTGTATTTATTTACTTATTAAATGAAAAAGATTTTAAACTGGGCTATGTTTCTTAAAGTTCAAGGACGGCCCATCAGGAATGGGCCAAAGAAAGCAATCAGAATAGGAAGATTCCTTTTAATAGACATCTAGATCAGCGTATGGATATCATTAACCTTCTTTTCGGCCAAAAAACCAAGGTGATCAAGCTTGATGCATGGTTATCAGCTGTGATGTAAATTAAGTCATGGGCATGTAGTGACAAAATTTCTTATATCTATTGCTTTTTTCCAATGATCTTTCAAAATAATTTAGTTTCGTGATATATTTTTTTTTTGTGGAAATAAACAACTAATAATAACTACCTACAACTTCAGCTGAAGTTATAAATTGATCAGAATCTGCTGTTGGCATGTCTCCTGGATGAGATGAGAGTGGGAAGATGGTTAGATTTATAGTTTCCAGTTATACTAATTAGGTAGAAATACTTTTTGCTTTAAGAAAATTAATCTCAGTCAAAATACTCTGAGGTCAGTCAGGCCAGATGTAAGTACCAAGGCTTTCTCTGGAATCCTTGGCTTAGGAGAAGGGATTCTTAAATTTCTTTATGTAATATTAACTAACACCTAAGGTAATTTCTAGATGATTTTAAAATCACTCCTTCTCATTAACACTCAGGCCTGTAATGAAGTAGGACATCCAAACAGAATAATTCCTGTGATCCTTGCATATAGTCTATTACAATAGGGAAGACGCTAAAGACAGACAATTTTCTTTTAAGCAGGCTTCTTGGAAATAGATTCTTGCTGCTTATTCTTTCAGACCCAAATGGCCTTAACTCTAGTGTTACCTTAGCCCCACTACCAAGGCATTACCCTTCTGGGATCTCTCCTGAAAGCCTCTTGTATTCCATAAGCATTCTCTACTCTGGCTGGTGGGAACTTGAATGCTTCCCAAATTCGGTGTAATCTATAGGAATAGTTCAGTTTATAGTCTTCTGGAATTGTTCTTTCCCTGGAAGTTGTTCTTTGCTAGTACTGATGGGGTTTTACCCCATGTATGTGCAGACTAGTATTTAATACATATTTGTGAAGTTCTTTTTCTGCCTACCTCCCTGATCTTCAGTACGCTATCATATACATTCTAATTCATAAATGCTTCAGTTTCTCTGAAGTCTGATCTCTTCAGTTTCTCTGATCTCTGATCTCTGTCCATTCCACTCAATGAGACTACCAGGCTGTTTGGTTTTCCCCTCCCTGTGCTGTAGTCCAGAAATGCCTCCAGTTGGAAACCTAGGGACATCATAGGATGTCTTTACGCCATTTCTTTCTCATTCCTCAGGGATCATAGGTGGCAATGCTCTAATAATCTGTTCCTTGAGAAAATATCAAGAAAAACAAATCTAAAAAATTATAAGTTTAATTTCCTATAATGAACAATTTACCACTATAGTAACATTTTTCACAAGTCGCTAACAAAATTTAATACAAATATTTACCTGTTTACAAAATAGGGGAAACTGAAGGGAAAATAATTTTGGAACTTTAAAGTATGGTTTTTTTGTTTGTTTGTTTTTTGTCCTTTTTGAGACCGGCCACACCACGCTCAGCCAGTGAGCGCTGTGAGCACTCCGGTCATCCCTATATAGGATCCGAACCCGCGGCGGGAGCGCTGCTGTGCTCCCAGTGCCGCACTCTCCTGAGTGCACCACAGGCTCGGCCCTAAAGTATGTTTTTTAAATGTCTAAATATATTTTATTCTAATTACAGAAGTTTATCATAGTACTTTTTTAAAACACTTACTGTCATTTTGAAGTCTCAGAAGGGAAGAGAACTTTGTATTAATGTTTTCCTTTAATCGTCTTCTGACTTTAAGAACTGGGATAGGCAACAAAACCAGTGAAGATGAGACTTACTGAAGAAAGGTTATGGTACATTTAGTCAAAGTAGTTGAATTTATGTAGAATGAGGTAGGCCATAGCTTGGGCTTTGAATGTAAAAAGATGAAAGGTCAGGGAGAGTAAGGAGTCAAAGAAATGACTTTTTTTATTATTAAAAAACCTGAAAATTTGAAAGAAAACAAAAATATTAAGACCTCAGTTATAAGTAGAAATATAAAGATCAAGGAATTATGGGTCAGAAGAAAGGGGATGAAGCCTGTATATATGGTATCATTTTTGCTTTCCATGTTGAATAAAACAGAGATAGGGTGGGTTACAAACTTATCAAAGCTCTCTAATATATTTTTTATCCCAAAGCCCTGGGCATTTAAAAATCTTAATCATTCTTAATTTAAATACTGATGTGTAGTAGGTACTAAGGAAGAGCTTCTTGGCCTGTAAAGATTAGATATGACCCAGAAATCAGCACATTAATTTTATGTAAATAAAAGATCAGAGAAAGTTAAGAATAACTTGAATTCTTAAATAGTTTTCTCAGAAATTTATAATGATGGTTTTACTTCTGTTTATCACACTCTTTAAAAATATACAGTACATGGTAAATTTCAGATTGGTCATGCAAAATACAAATTCTGAATTAAGGCTAATAGTTTACACTAGACTCCAGTAATATCCTTAAAATAAATATTTCCATTGGGCCACATACATTATAGAGGTACTCATACTATATTTTAGTTTATGATTAATCAAGTGTTTTTTTTGATGATGTAGGCTTGGCTTTTGTTGATTGAAAAAGCACTAATATTTTTGTCTTGGACAGAAACAAAAGCAACATCTCTTCATATTTATGCTTTTAATTTTAGAAACAAATCCCAAGAAATGCCTCATCCTAGAAACAAAGAACTCATACTTGGCATCATGGTGGGAACTGCTGGAATCAGCTTGCTGCTTTTGTGGTACCATAAGGTCCGTAAACCAAGAATAGCAGTGAATTTACCTAAATTTCTTTCTCTTGGTAACACATTTGATGCAATGACGTTGCAAGATGGAATACATAATGACCAAGATACAGCCGAGATCCTTCAAGGAAGGCAACTTCAGATACTGGAGAAATTAAATGAATTACTGACAAATATGGAAGAACTCAAAAAGGAAATCAGATTTCTTAAAGAAGCTATTCCAGAGCTGGAGGAATATATACAAGGTGAACTTGGAGGGAAGGCAACTGTTCATAAGATAAGTCCTCAGCACAGAGCTAGAAAAAGAAGGCTCGCCACAGTTCAAAGTTCAGCAACAAGTAATAGTTCAGAGGAAGCAGAAAGTGAAGGAGGGTAAGTGTCCTTAAGATGTTTCCCATGATTATTTATTACATTATTGCTATTCTTTAGGTACTTTTATTATGTATTTCAGTCATATATTCTGCTGCTAACAAGATATAAAAAGGAGTGATTGCTTAGATTCTAATTAAAACCATATTCAGTATTTAAGATAGTTTAGGCTGCATTACAAAAAGAATATAAATACTGTAACTTACTAGTAGTAGATGGCATCATTTGACTATTAAGGAAGACAGTAATTGTTTGCCAAAATGTGTAACCTATTTTTTTATGGGGCCACTGTGTGACTCCTTATTTAAGAACTCTATAGACCGGTGCTGTTCAATAGAACTTTCCATGATGATGAAAATGGTCCCTATCCGTGCTGCCCAGTATGGTATTTACTAGCCATGTGTGACTGTTAAGCACTTGAAATATGGCTGGTGCAACTGAGGAACTGAATTTTAATTTTATTTAATTACAGTTGTAGTTTTATTTAATTGTAATTAATTTAAATTTAAATAGCCACATCCAGCTAGTGGCTACTGAATTTTAGCTCAGGTCTAAAAAATTTCAAGAATGTATAAGTGATTCAGTCTCATCCTCACATGGGGTAATCCATTGCATTCTAACACCAAGAACGTAACTTATTTTTTTTCTCCTGAAAGAATATTATTTATGAATAAAGAAATGTGCCTGACTAGTGTTTTTGAGGAATAAAATAAGCTGGTAAAAAAAGGAGCACTGATGAATATGATATAGCCTGAAATTCTTGAGGGCAGGGACCCTGTGTTTTGATTGTTGTATTCCTAACATCTTATTTCTGTGCCTGGCACAGACTAGATACCAATAAATATTTCTTGAGTGAATAAGTGATCTGCTACATTACCATGGAATTGGGAGAAAGGATCTGCAGAGAGGAAACAAGGGAGTAGGGATGAAAGGTAATTTCATAGGTAAAGAAATAGTGATCAGGTCTTTGAGATCAGTGCCAGGACTGGAATTGTTGAGTATTTTTATACATGAACTGGAGAAATGACTATATGAAAAACCTTTCAGATAGGGAAGAACCACAAATGATAGATCTAGATAATAGGAAGGTCTAAAAATTTTGTGTTTCTGAACAACAAAAACAAAAAGTTGTAGACTGGTTTTATTTATTTATTTGTAGACTGGTTTTAAAATAAGCAAGTAGTATGTTTAGAAGGAATCTAAAGTAGTTTTAAATCATTCAAAACTGTAACTCAAAAAGAGACCTGGTTATTATCACGGGTATAGGGAATAGCAGCTGAGTACTTATATAATGACAAAAATCCCCACATAACCTTGAGCATCTTTGAGAGTTTTAAGGACAAACCAGTTGGTTATCCTTCCTGTATGTAAATCTGTGGTGTTTCCTCATCATGAGTCCTGTGTGCAGTTTTGGCAATCACATCATAGAAAGGATGTAATGAAGATCCTCTAGACTGAGAGCAGAGATGGCCGGCTGGTAAAGGACGAGTGTAAGTTAAATCTAAATAAACCCTGGTTAACTTGAGCATAGGCTTCTTCACAACATTCTACAATCCTAGAAAGAGAGGCAAACATGAATAAGTGTAGGATAAGATTAGGATAAATAAAAAGAAGGTAATCGTGGGACTTAACTTCTAGTAATGATAGAGGCATACATTTTTTATGTGGGTTCAAGAAGGATTTGTGAAATTTATGAATGAGAGTCAATGCAGCTAATAAGAAAAACCAGACACATAAAAACTTTAGGATTGGTGTCAGGTAAGACATTCCCTCCTCTTGTTCAGTCCTGGGTTCCTTTGTTAGTATGAAATACTAGAGTGGATGTAATACATCCCTAGTAACTTAGACCAGATTACAGCAAATAACACTTAATAAAGGGAGAGAAACTTTTTCCTATTTAGCCCTCTTTTAGAAAACAAACAAGCAGACACACACATAATTCGGATTTCTTTTTTAGAAAGGAGTAAGAAACAGAAAGATTTAACACACCTTTCTAAATAAATACCTGGAAACTAACTTTTTAAATAAAATATTTTTTAATCACAAGGTCTTTGTGAAGTATATTTGTATATATTTTAGATTGTCTGTCATTTTATAATCTTCCATGGGAACAAAATTACTGGCCATGGTGAGATGCAGCCATAACCCTTAACCACTCTTCAGATGGTGTTTATCCTTCATATACAGTGTCCTTGATAGCAAAATTAACACGTCAAATGGCAATTACATGTTTCATATGTAAAATGTATCTTTTGCAAGAGGTGCCTGGAGATTTTTACTTCTTTTAGTAAAATAGGTATCAGTCACAATTCATTAATACTATTAGTTTTACACAAGAAGGGAAAACATCTAATTATATCCTTAGTTGTCGACAAAACCTTGAGTGTAGGGCTCACACAATTTGGGTCAATCAGTGGAATTCATTTTCTGTAAACATTGTTAGAATTTCTTACATGCCATCTCTTAGAACAGAAGTATCACCATGGATTTAGAGATTTATGCCTTTTTGGACTCTCCTAATTTCATTTATTTGGGTTTGGTGGTATTGATGATTTATAGTCAAATTCTTGTAACATGGCCTGTGGGGGATCTGTTAAGGTTGTTCCTTTATCCTTTTTAGCACTAGGGTTAACATCTTGGAAATCATCTTTGCTTCTTGGTCACAGTGTTTCAACTGATTTTGTTTTTGTCCCTGCCACAAGACATGGAATCAGCTACTGCCTCGGCAGCATTAGTTCCTTTCGGTGAGAATAGTGTTAGATACTAAAATCTGGGTACAGGTCAAATATCCCTTATCCAAAAATACTTGGGACCAGAAGTGTTTTGAATTTTGGATTTTTTCAAATTTTGGAATATTTGCAGAATACAAGTGAGAATAGTGTTAGATACTAAAATCTGGGTACAGGTCAAATATCCCTTATCCAAAAATACTTTGGGACCAGAAGTGTTTTGAATTTTGGATTTTTTCAAATTTTGGAATATTTGCAGAATACACACTGGTTGAGCATCCCTAATCCAAAAATCTGAAATGCTTCAGTGAGCATTTCCTTTGAGCATCATGTTGGTGCTCAAAAAATTTTAGATTTTGGTGCATTTAGGATTTTGGATTTTCGGATTAGGGATGCTCAACCTTTATATGGAAGAGTAGTGTTTTTAGGCAGGATGATATCAGAGGTTGTTTTGGTTTCTTTGGGACATGGCAAAAAATACATATTTTTAAAAATATTTTTAAGGTAACTAGTTTACATTTATGTTTTCAGTTTAAATTTAAGTCCTTATTTCTGAAATCTTTCTAGTTCATTTTCATTTTTTAAGCCACCCACCTCTTTTTTCCTCTGTCATATTTGACCTATATTGCTCTATCCAACTAAGGGTTTAAAAATTGTTGTTTAAATCACAGCATTATGTGAAGCTTAGAAAGCTCTCTTTAAAAAGTAGAATCTTATTTCAGTTTAGAAGTAATAAATTTATTATTTCATTTCAATGGAGGCTTTAGGAAGAATAAATGTTTCAAAATTAAATGCAGGTTTGTATAGTGACCATATGGGCCTTTTTTTCCTTGGCCTGGGTATTTTCATTTTAGTGTTAGGTTCGTATGATACCCTCAGGTAGAATCAACAGAAACATTACTGATTACTTAAAAAGAAAGTGAAACCCCACAAATCTATCCCCAGGAGAACACCAGCATAATACAAGGCATGGTACCTAGTACCTTTAGATGATATTGCTTTGATAGAGGATGATGATGAAAGTGAGACTACAGACAGGTAGAGGCTTTTGAGGCTTTGTTTGAAACTCCTTTAATTTTCATGTTCATGAACCAAAATACAGAACTTGCTTTTTGTTCATTTGCATTTTTACTCTTACCGTTATTTACTCCCATCAAGTCAGTATTAGTGTTGTCCTTCAGTTTTCCCAAGGCATTAAGATAAATACTCATTATGTGGTGATTATGTATTCCTTAGTGTTGTGGTAAATGAAATGTGCCAAAAAAAAAAAAATTCTGTTTCAGATCTTTTTTTGAATGAAACATTGCACATATAACTGAAGTCTCCTTTCTACTCATTCCTCTGAAGGTTAACCATTATCTTGAAGTTGGGGTGCCTTCTTCTTTCAAAAGTTTTAATTGTTCTCCTATATATGCATGTTTACATAAACAAGGTGTAAATGTTCTTTTGTTCTTAAAATTTACATTACATGGTCAGCTAGCTCAGATAGTTACAGCATGGTGTTATAATACCAAGATCAAGGGTTCAGATCCCAGGACTGCTAGCCACAAAAACAAACAAACAAACAAACAAAAAAACCCAAGTTACAGATCAAACTCCTTGTTCTACTCTTTTCCCCCTTCCCACTACTGTCCATGACTAGTCTTAGAAAGAAAAACAAAAATAGCTACAATATAAAAACCCAGACCTAAAATTTATATAAGTGATATTACATGGAATATAACACTTCATAACATGCTTTTGCATTAAATGTTTTTTTGAGGTTCTTCCATGTTAATGTATGTGAACTTATTTCATTCTTTTCAATTGTTATGCTGCATTCCATTGTATGAATATTCCGTAATTTATTTCCCTACTGATGGATGTTTAGGCTCTCATTTTTACTCTTATAAACAGTACCTCATTGAATACCTTTCTTCCTAATTCTTTAGGCATATGATGAAGAATTTCTTGAAAGTATATATTTAGAAGTGGAATTGTTGACTTATAGACTAAGTATATTATATATTACTAAATCATTCTTCAAAGTATACCAACTCACAATCTGTAATTTATTTCCCTACTGATGGATGTTTAGGCTCCCATTTTTACTCTTATAAACAGTACCTCATTGAATACCTTTCTTCCTAATTCTTTAGGCATATGGTGAAGAATTTCTTGAAAGTATATATTTAGAAGTGGAATTGTTGAGTTATAGACTAAGTATATTATATATTACTAAATCATTCTTCAAAGTATACCAACTCACAATCTTATAAGCAGTGTATAAGAATT